ACTCTGGGTGTGTCCCACAAGCCAATTTTCTACCCACTGAACTGTGCAATGTAGATTATTACAACTGTTTAGTTTATTTATAAGAATTGGGTGTGACACTGTGTCAAAGGCCTTTTTAAAATCTAAGTAAATAATCTCTACCTCTGTTCCTTCATCCAAGCATTTTGTGACCCGGTCGTAAAATGAAACCAGGTTAGTCAGGCAAGATCTGCCTGCTATGAACCCATGCTGATTGCCCCTTAGCATTATTTTACCCGCTGGTCCCCCACAAATGTGATCCTTAACAATTTTCTCAAAGGTCTTGCCGAGGATAGAGGTGAGACTAACTGGCCTATAGTTACTTGGTTCCTCCTTCCTCCCCTTCTTGAAAATAGGGACCACATTGGCCCTTTTCCAATCCACCAGGACCTGTCCTGAATGCCACGAGTGCTCAGACAGTTGTGCCAGCGGTTCCGCTATGACTCCAGATAATTCCCTAAGTACCCTAGGATGAAGCTCATCGGGGCCTGTTGACTTATATACATTCAGCCCCTCCAGATGCCCCTTTACTAGGTCAGCATGAACAGTTGGTAGGTTGGTATCTATACTGGGCTTACCTGAAGACCCAATGGGATGCGTATTTGTATTCGTGTCCAGAAACACGGATGCAAAGAAATCAGTTAGAAGCTCCACTTTGGCCATCCCATCTGTTACCAGTTGCTCTAGTTCATCCTGAAGGAGCCCTAAGTTACCCTGCACTTTCTTTTTACTTCCAATGTACTTAATGACTTTTGTTATCCTTAACTTTTGCTACCAGCCTAAGCTCTATTTCCGCTTTGGCCCTCTTCACTGCTTCCCTGCAAGCTTGAGCCAAGCAGGTATACTTCTCTTTGGTTGCACCCCCTGCTTCCACAGCCTATAGGCCTCTTTTTTCCCCTCCAGGCTCTCCTGGATTTCCCTGCTCCACCAAGAGGGTTTCTTTGCTTTTTTGCCCCCTTTTATGTGAACTGGGATGGTCCTTTTCTGTGCCTGCAAGATTAGTCCCTTGAGAAATGCCTACCCTTCCTGGACTCCCATCGCTCCAAGGCTTTTACCAGTCAGTCCTTCCCTAACTAATCTCCTGAGCTTGTTGAAGTTGGGTCTAGCACTTCCACCCTACTAGTTATCTTCCCCACCTTTCTCCAGATAGTGAACCCTATCAATAGGTGGTCACTATCCCCTAGGTTACCTTGCACCTGCAGATCCCCAACCAAGACCTGGCTGCCTGTTTCTCCCAGCAGATGTCTAGGAAGTTAAAGTCACCCATGATGACCAGGTCCTTTGAGCTCACTGCCTCTGAAAGCTGTCTCAAGAATTCCAGGTCTAACTCATCCACCTGGTGTGGGGGTCTATAGTAGACCCCCACTACCAAGTCCCTTTCACCCCGACCCCCCTGTAACCTAACCCATAGTACCTCAATTTACCCCTCTTCCTGGCCCAATTTAACTACGGAAGATGTATATTGCTTCTTAACATAGAGAGCAATGACCCCCCCACCCCTTTTTCCCCTACTCTGCCCTGTTTGTACAGCCTGTAGCCCTCAATGTGCACTGCCCAGTCATGGGTAGGATCTCACCAAGTTTCTGTTAGCCCTTCCAGGTCAAATTATTTATTTGCAAGCAGGCATGAGTTACTCCTGCTTGTTCCCCATGTTCCTAGCATTAGTATAGAGGCATCTAAGCCCCACATTAGGTACCCTTGCTACTTCCCCATTCTGACGCTTGCTTAGTGGGGCCCTTGGTACTTACCTGAACTGTTCCAGCACCTGGCTTGAGGTTTGTTGTTTCTGCCCTCTCCCTGTCATCAACATCCCCATCCCCCAACGAACCTAGTTTAAGATTACTGTTCTGTACTGGCGATTACTGCACTGCAAAATTGCAGAGTGAACTAATTCTTTTGCATGACCATGCAAACTAAGTCCTTCGTAGATATCCAGCATTTGTTTCTCAGGTTGAAGCCCCCATGATACCAGGTTTCTTTCCTTCCTCCATGTAGATATATATGTAAAGAGTTCTTTAAATTGATTTCATGGCCTGCAGCAGCCACTAACTAGTGCCCCATCTTATGTGGGATTTGTCATAGATTCATATTCATAGATGTTAGGGCCGGAAGGGACCTCAATAGGTCATTGAGTCCGACCCCCTGCATAGGCAGGAAAGAGTGCTGGGTTCAGATGACCCCAGCTAGATGCCTATCTAACCTCCTCT